TGAATGAGTAGGTGTTCTAAAACTTTTGACCAGTAGTGTGTATATATAAGTAGAGGGCTGTCAAATAAGGTAATGTGAAATGGGAGTGTGTTTGTCTCTGCTTGCCTGCCTGTCAGTCAGTCAGTCAGTCACATATTTGGGCTGTTAAGATTTAAACATGCTATTTAATCTCTTAATGTTTATCCTTACCACAGGAGGTTGGTGGCACCTTAATTAGGGAGGACAGGCTCGTGGTAATGGCTGGAGCGGAATGGGTGGAATGGTTTCAAATACATCAATGCCATTCCAACATTCCGTTCCAGCCATTATTATGAGCTGTCCTCCCCTCAGCAGCATCCACTGATCCTTACTACAGTCCAGACCCCTTCAACTAGTATCCTCTGTTTACCCAATGTGAGGAATCTACTACTATAGGACCACATAACTTGTTATATATTTTTGCTGACTGTCCAATATCATTCCTCAAGGCATATCAATATTCACTCTAAACTCTAGAGTGCTATATTGAAATCAGTAAGAACGTATGAGTATATGATGGTCAAAGAGCAATCATGTCTTCTGCTTGTTACACCAAAACCATCCCTCCAATCTGAATTCATGTCCTCTGTGTGTTACATCCAAACCCTCCCACTTCTCACCTGTCTTGTATGAAGATGGCAGGTTGGTTGACACTTTGACCCCCCATGGCTCCAGTTCAGAGCTGTCTTGGAGGCTCCATATGCTGCTAGGCAGGGGAAGAAATGTAGATAAGATGTGACATAACTACATTAACTAATTCCCACACCAACTGATTGTCTTTGTTTATTAATTATGTACATGGTTCTATTTATGATTATTCCAAAAGGGTAGGGCTGACATAAGATAACTAGACACTAACCAATATTTTGTTTCAGCAATATTAATCAGCCAACATATCAATATTCAATAAATAGGATGAAAAAGGGGAAACTAATGATTATCTGACCACTTGCGGAACGTGACCAGGCCAATGATAAACTGGTTAAATGTATTGTCGAAAAAAGAGGGGTAGAGATGCATTTGCAGGTGGGAGAGTAATCATTTTTCGCAGTTCGAGTACAATGAAAAATTGCATAAGAAGTGTGAATACAGAGTAAAGCATATTTTATGTTCATACCACAGGCTATACTCAGTGGCAAAACATCCTCAAAGTGGTTGAAAGCGTACCACAAACTGAATAACCTAGTTGTGGACACCTACTTTGAGGATGACCAACATGTGCAGCCAGTGTACAGGTATTTTAAGGACCTAGTTCAGAAAGTATGGGTAATTTTCCAGTACATATATGATGAAATGTTGAGATGAAATAACAGAATCATTATGACCACTGACAAAGACATGATCAGTCTATCATTTTAATGGTAGGTTTATTTGAACAGATCCAGAAAAAACGAATGTCAAAAAGGTTATAAATTGATTTGCATTTTAATGAGGGAAATAAGTATTTGACCCCTCTGCAAAACATGACTTAGTACTTAGGCAAAACCCTTGTTGGCAATCACAGAGGTCAGACGTTTCTTGTAGTTGGCCACCAGGTTTGCACACATCTCAGGAGGGATTTTGTCCCACTCCTCTTTGCAGATCTTCTCCAAGTCATTAAGGTTTCGAGCCTGACGTTTGGCAACTCGAACCTTCAGCTCCCTCCACAGATTTTCTATGGGATTAAGGTCTGGAGACTGGCTAGGCCACTCCAGGACCCTAATGTGCTTCTTCTTGAGCCAATCCTTTGTTGCCTTGGCCTTAAGTTTTGGGTCATTGTCATGCTGGAATACCAATCCACGACCCATTTTCAATGCCCTGGCTGAGGGAAGGAGGTTCTCACCCAAGATTTGACGGTACATGGCCCCGTCCATCGTCCCTTTGATGCGGTGAAGTTGTCCTGTCCCCTTAGCAGAAAAACACCCCCAAAGCATAATGTTTCCACCTCCATGTTTGACGTGGGGATGGTGTTCTTGGGGTCATAGGCAGCATTCCTCCTCCTCCAAACACGACGAGTTGAGTTGATGCTAAAGAGCTCCATTTTGGTCTCATCTGACCACAACACATTCACCCAGTTCTCCTCTGAATCATTCAGATGTTCGTTAGCAAACTTCAGACGGGCCTGTATATGTGCTTTCTTGAGCAGGGGGACCTTGCGGGCACTGCAGGATTTCAGTCCTTCACGGCATAGTGTGTTACCAATTGTTTTCTTGGTGACTATGGTCCCAGCTGCCTTGAGATCATTGACAAGATCCTCCCGTGTAGTTCTGGGCTGATTCCTCACCGTTCTCATGATCATTGCAACTCCACGAGGTGAGATCTTGCATGGAGCCCCAGGCCAAGGGAGATTGACAGTTATTTTGTGTTTCTTCCATTTGCGAATAATCACTGTTGTCACCTTCTCACCAAGCTGCTTGGCGATGGTCTTGTAGTCCATTCCAGCCTTGTGTAGGTCTACAATCTTGTCCCTGACATCCTTGGAGAGCTCTTTGGTCTTGGCCATGGTGGAGAGTTTGGAATCTGATTGATTGATTGCTTCTGTGGACAGGTGTCTTTTATACAGGTAACAAGATGAGATTAGGAGCACTCCCTTTAAGAGTGTGCTCCTAATCTCAGCTCGTTACCTGTATAAAAGACACCTGGGAGCCAGAAATCTTTCTGATTGAGAGGGGGTCAAATACTTATTTCCCTCATTAAAATGCAAATCAATTTGTAACATTTTTTACATGCGTTTTTCTGGATTTTTTTGTTGTTATTCTGTCTCTCACTGTTCAAATAAACCTACCATTAAAATTATAGACTGATTATTTATTTGTCAGTGGGCAAACGTACAATTTCAGCAGGGGATCAAATACTTTTTTCCCTCACTGTACATGACTCAATTATTGAATGGCTACTCATAACAACATCCCTAACAATAGTTCCCTAAACGTATGTTGCATGTATGTTCATTTTATTTTATTTGTATCATGCAATTCAGAGTTCAATTGTATTCTGCCATGTGAATGAATTAAATGAATTGGAATTTGTAATATCTAATGAATAATAAGGACAAAGCACTAGTCATGTCTAATAGACTGTGTAATTTTAGCCATGAATTTGCCACGACCCACAGCCTCCTGATAAGTTTTCTAGATTGCTTGTCATCCGCACACCGTATGTGGCGGACAAGGCTCCCTTGTTATCACAGGGTCAACAACGTTAGGAGAATGGCATTTATCTTCTCCCAATATATTTACAGCTATCGTACACACAGAAGGAAGGGATAGAAGGAAGGAAGAGGCTCAAGTGTAAACAATCGGCTTGTGAAATCGGCCAGTGTGAAGGCTACTTTCAGGCCATGTTCTTCTTCTTCTTCTTCTTCTTCAGTAGGGTTTATCGGCGGTTGGCATCCAACGTTATGGTGCATTACCGCCACCTACCGTACTGGAATGTGGGCCAGAGACAGGGAGAAACTAAATCCTACCTGCCAACCAATAATCACACTTTCCTGATGGATGCTTTCCTATCACGTTTAATGTCTTATTCAACTGGCTGTGTCCCACCCTTAATCTTGTAAAAATAGCCTCCTCTCTTCTGTCCCTTCCTGCCGTCCTCCCCTCCCCGACTTTCCTGTACTTGAAATAAATGCCTTCCCTTATTATTTCTATTCCACTGCTCCTGCCATCTCTGCACCATCACTGTATATATCAGTCATTTTGCCTCTGCCTTGCTCATTGACACTTCCACATCAACATCCCCACTACTACGTGCTTGTTTAGCCTGTTCATCTACTGCCTCGTTCCCCTCCACCCCCACATGGGCTGGGACCCAAGTACATCTTATCTGAATACCCATCTGTTTAATCCTGCCATGGTTTTGTAGCACCTCATAAAGCAGGTATTGTCTGCTACGTGAGCTAAAGGACTGGAGACTCATTAACACTGCACATGAATCAGAGCAAATAACTATTCTGTCTGGTTTAACTTCCTCCACCCACTGCAAGGCCAACAGTATGGCCATCAGCTCAGCCGTATATACAGCCAGATGATCTGTAATACGTTTCTGACTTCCACCCTACATTCCTGCACTACAAATGCTGACCCAGTACGTCCTGTCCTTGGATCTTTTGAACCATCTGTGTAAATGGCCACAAAATCCTGATACACATTTTCCAGATGTCTCTTAAAGAAATCAGCTGGATCAACCCCCTCCCTATCTTTCTGTAGTCTCTCCAACACTTCTAGATCATCAGGCCATGTTATGCAGTGTGCTTTGAATTTGAAGTGGAGATCTAATTGCATAGTGTGAGATGCTGCCACCATTTCAGATTGGTGACATTAACTTAACATACAACTTTCTCTCCATGGCCCTCCTCTCCATGTGCATCCTCTCTCCTTGGCTCCTGAACTAGCGCAAGAGAACATAGAGAGAGAAATATTATTAGATACATAAGTAATTGATCAGATACATCATGCGGCATATTTACAAAAAAATATTTCGGGTTTTAATAGTTATTAATGCTAACACACACTGAAGAATTAGTCTTTATTTACGATGACGTTGCAAGTGCAGATATTGCCCACCCCTTCAGTGGGGTTTATCGGCGGTTGGCATCCAACGTTATGGTGCATTACCGCCACCTATCGTACTGGAGTGTGTGTGGGCCAGAGACTGGGATAAACTAAATCCTACCTGCCAACCCCGTTGCTCTTAAAAAAAGATAACAACATATTTGACACTATATCTAATGACGTTCTACTCAATATACTCTTTAAACTAATTTCCTGTATCCCCTTCTCCCTCATACTAGATCTCATCCTCTCTCTTTCCCTCTGATACTGCCCACACTGTAGCAATACATGCTCCACGGTCTCTGTCTCCTGACAGTAATCACACTTTCCTGTTGGGAACACGACGCTCATTGCGTCAGCCGTTACTTAAACAAATCCTTAGGACCAATGAGAGTAGAGCTACTGAGTTTGGACGTCACATACACATGTCCATATATGGCATTGCGTTGGCAGCTCTATTGGATTTCTATCCGGAGACATCCCTGGAACCCATACCGCGTTATACCTCTACCAATATGGCTTAGCCGCACAAAAACTGTAACGGGCAAGTTTCACTGTTTTTACTGTCTGCGCAAGTTGTCAGGAGTGTTACATGTAACTCAATGTTGTAAACAGTAATCGCCGGTCAATAGGCCTAATGGTTAAAGACGAAGCGCCGTGTTATTGCAAAATATGCTTGGTGGGTGGGTCTTAAAAGCCAGCGCCAATGAAACGAATAGAATGAGTGCTGTATAACAGACGGGGACGTTTCATTATTTATTTTTTATATATAATATCCATTTATCACTGTTGTGCGCAAGGGAGGTGGAACTAGAGGGAACTAACTGTCCTTGTTCGTTCTATTTGACTGGCGTAATCATATCTTGCTGTAGACAACCACACGCGAGGTTGTTCCTCAACACATCGTTCAGAATGGCTGGGCTGGTGAGTAGCAGAGGGTGTCACAAAATCAGGAGTTCCCAAATAAGAGAGCTTCTCGATTCCAAGCTCAACGTCCTTTTTGATTGCGACGGAGTCATCTGGAATGGCGAAACGGTAGTGGCAGGCGCGCCAGAAGTGGTGACACTACTGAAACAACAAGGCAAAAAGGTATTTTTCATCACCAACAACTGTACTAGGCCCAGAGCGAGCTACGTGACGAAGTTTATCCGGTTGGGCTTCACTGATGTCGCAGAGGAGGAGATCTTCAGCTCGGCGTACTGCTCTGCGGCTTACCTGCGAGACGTGGCGAAGTTGCAGGGCAAGGTGTATGTCATAGGGTGCCAGGGCGTTGTGAAGGAGCTACGGGATGCTGGGGTTCCCATAGTGGAGGAGGACACTGACGCACCTACTGGGACCATTTACGACTACCCGTTGGACCCAGACGTGAAGGCAGTGCTGGTGGGATATGACGAGAAATTTGATTTCATAAAACTGGCCAAAGCCTGCTGCTACTTACAGAATACTGAGTGCCTGTTTCTGGCCACTGACCCTGACCCTTGGCACCCACTGCGAGGAGGCAGAATAACACCAGGTAGGTGTTTCACTGGTGAGGGTCCTGCTGGCTTTTGTTCCAGTCCAGCACTAGCACAGCTGATGTAAAGAGATTCTCCGGGACTGTTTTATACTTTTTAGCCAGTAGTTCTGAAAGTAGCACTCACCAGCCAAAAGTGGTCCCCGAAAATTGTGTACAATGTGCGAGGGGGCTGAAGCTCATTGACTAGAACTCTAATTGCTAGGGGACTGGCCCATGTGGGGGGAAATGTAGGGAATATGGCTCTGCACAGCTTCCAGAAAACAGTTGCTTTCAAACTAGGGATTTCGTGGCTAATTGAGGTAAAACAGTAATTCTGCTCATAGATTATGCATGTATGAACTAGTGATGGGAAACAGAGGCTTTCAGAAGGCTTTGGCGCTTTCACCAAATTGTGCCAAAATCAGTTCATTACTCAGAGCTTCATTTTCTCTTCACAGTGCCCATTAGTGACATTACATTTACATTTACATTTACATTTACGTCATTTAGCAGACGCTCTTATCCAGACATCTGCTGGTCAGCAATAAATAGCTACGTTTGATCATCAGAGAGGTTTTTTCTCCCATTATCATCAAAACTCTGGTGCAGTGGTAAATTGTTGGCTTTAGTAGCTTATAATCAGTTGGAATTCCCTTTTTTTGCCTTCTAGTTTACCATTTAAAAAACCCAGAATCTATGGCATTATTTAGGATGCTTAAGACAAAGCTTATACTATATTAAATTAAACCAATTATTTGAATAACAGTGCAGGAAGTCTGGTTTCACATAACAATTTTCAAAATAGTGTGTCTTTAACGGGATTTGACCTCATACCCTCACATCCCTGAATGTCCCATAGTTCCCTACTCTACCAGCTAAGCTACCAGTAAGGGTAAAGTTTTTTTACAAAATCCTAACTATATTTGTAAGTACGGTGTCCAGTAGAAGTCCGTGTTTAAAAGCAGCTTGAAATCGAGGAAAGCACCGGAACCACGGCAAACTCAGTGTGATCTCGCATTTTGCAACAAACTGTTTGAAAAAGCATGTGATCAAACTAAGCTTCGGACGTCATTGATGACGTACTACTGATAAAGCGATGCACTCATCGGCACACTGATTCGAAGTTAGCTGCTTAACGATTTCTATGCATGCCTCGGAGCTCCGGTATCAAACATAATATCACTAGTATGAACTACACATTGACACAAAGCGGTTGGTTTAAAAAATACTGGAGTGATAGAGGTAGATATGTGTAGGGGTAAGGTGACTACGCATCAGGATATATGATAAACAGAGTAGCAGCAGCGTATATGATGATTATGTGTGAGTGGGTGTGTAGAGTCAGTATAAACTTTATATTATATGCATATGTGTGTGAGCAAATGATGGAGTGAGTGTCAGTGAGCGTGTAGGGCCCTGTGAGTGTGCATAGATGGTGCAACTCAGGTTCATCTCAGATAGTCCATGTAGCCATTTTGTTAGCTATTTAGCAGTTTTATGGCTTGGGGATAGAAGCTGTTCAGGAGTCAGACTTGATGCACCGGTACCGCTTGCCGTGCGGAAGCAGAGAGAACAGTCTATGGCTTGGGTGGCTGGATACCCATTTTCCGGCCCTTCCTTTGGAGGTCCTGGATGGCAGGGAGCTTGGACCCAGTGAAACACTGAGCTGTCCGCACCACCCTCTGTAGTGCCATGCGATCAAGGGCGGTGCTATTGCCATACCAAGCGGTGATGCAGACAGTCAAGATGCTCTCAATGGTACAGCTGTATAACTTTTTGAGGATTTGAGGGCCCATGCCAAACCTTTTCAACCTCCTGAGGGGGACTGTGCACGTGTGTGCAGACCATTTTAAGTCCTTAATGATTTGGACACCTACTAATCATGATTAGTTGAATCAGATGTGTTAGTGCTGGGCTGGAACGAAAGTTTGCACATCCTGTAGTTCACCAGGGGACCATTATCTACTTCAATTTCACCTCAATGTAACAGGGTGAATAGGGACACCATGTAGAAAGGGTTTACTACATTTTAGCCCTGTGGTGCCTGGACATACAGTATCCACATATTCATTGAGACCTGTCATGTAAACTTTTCACAGCGCACTAGGTTGGTTGAGCACACCTGTTGGTTAAACAGTTAGTTTGTATCAGAGAAATGTGTCGTCAGTATTTGGTAGACATGGGCAGTTGTGTAGAATGGCTTTGAATGCTGTGTGAAGTGCAACTCAATCCGTTTTTACTCCCAGCAACACACACATGATGTCTTCTATTGTGTGCTGCTCTGTTCATGAAATTAAGGATACTGCACATAATGTTGTTTACAGATTGAACCCTGACAAAGGTTGTTTTGGGCATTCCTCACTGTTTGGCTAAGTGGTCACCTGTACTGGTCCTGGAGCACTACTGGTGTCTATTTGGATATTAGGTTTTGAAGGCAGGCATTTTTTCCAGCACAACACACACACACACACACACACACACACACACAAACATCCTATCAAGGTACAGTCAACTACTAATAAGTGCACATCAAATAAGTGTAAGCTCTGTTGAAGAGCAGTGCAGTTCACCAATTGGTTTTATTTTACTTGACAATAAAAAATATCAAATCAGCTCCAGTTGACAACAGGCATTACAAATACATAATTTTTAGTTTTGGATTATTTTTAGTGTGGCTTCAAAACAGCCCCAAGCCGTTGTATTGCTGAATCAAGAATATTCGTGCTGGGCTGGAACAAAAGCTTGGACACCTTAAGAATGAGGGTTGCTGACCACTGCTGTACGTCAGTATGCCGTTTACAAGTTAAACATTGAAAAGGTAGTAGCTGGTAATCTTCCCTGACTCTCTGGCGCCGCTTCCTCCTCTCCCTCAGGTTCGGGAAGCCTCACGGCCGCTGTGGAGACGGCCAGCAGCAGGAAAGCCATGGTGATCGGGAAGCCCAGCTGCTTCATGTTCGAGTGCATTGCCAGCCAGTTCAACCTGGACCCCGGCCAGTCCCTCATGGTGGGTGACCGTCTGGAGACTGACATCCTGTTTGGGGCTAACTGTGGCCTGGACACCATGCTCACCCTCACCGGAGTGTCCACTCTGGAGGAGGCGCAGGGCTACAAGGACAGTGATGACCCTGAGCGGAAGGACTTTGTGCCAGATTACGTGGTGGAGACCATTGCCGATTTCATTTTAGCGTATGAAGAGGAGGAAGGCTGAGGAGGACTCTAGAAAGAGCAGACCCCTGAAGCTGTGCCAGTGCTTAAGAGACCTGGGTCATGTTCATTAGAGCACGCAACCGAAAGCGTTTTAAACTGTTTTGCAACAGAAAGTGAAAATTCCCTCCCTGTTTAATTTGGTGCCTAATGAACATGACCCTGGATATATCAGAAAAGGGATTAGTTTGGTGGTGTTATGCACAGTCATTTGTAAAGCCTTTATGAAGTCAGTGTGATGTGTTATAGCACTTGCCACAGGCATGCTCTGCTTTTAATGCCAAGAATCTTTGTCATGATGCAAGTAAAGATGTTGTGTGGCATAACATTTTGGAAATGTTTTTGCAGTTTACATGCTTATGGCAAGTGATAATGACATTGGCCAGGATTCAATCAGAGGTGCGTTGTAGACAAGCCCATTTCACTACAGACAATGGAGATCGCATTCACGATAAACGCTGAAGATGTCGACTCAAGTGGAAATTATATTAAAAATGTCAAGCGCTGTGGGCTTGTTTACAACACGTCTTTGATTGAATCCCGGTCATTGTGTAGTATTTTGGAAAGCTTTATGAATGGTGACATGAGACCACCTGGAAAATGATATACTGACACAAATAATACAGTGTGAGACACCCCATCTGGTTGTAGTTCCTAGTGTTCATTCTTTGGGAGATTTATTGGTGTAGTAGGAATGTCTTTGGTTGTACTGTAGTATGTCATAGACGTCACCATATAAGCCCAATAGACAACTTGTTCCTTGAGACCATCCAGTGTTGAAATGGATCGGTATCAATCAAAGTGAATCATAACATCCAATGTCAATGGACTGAAGTTGTATAAACCCGCAGAACCAACTGTGCTGTTCCACAGTCAAAGCATAAGATAATGTAAGCTGAATGCTTCCCTTGCAGCACCTTCATCTTTAGTATACCAAACCAAATGTTATTTTTGGAGCCAACTGTCCAACATTTAGCTCTGGATATATTGAAATCGGGCTAGAGAATTGGTTTGATGGAAATAGGGATAAAGACTTGGTTTGATGTTGTCAAACCTTTGCTAATATGTGTGTCAGCAACCTCGCTGTAGTTTTGGATCATTTGGTTAATGAATCCTTGACTGTAACGAAACATGACATGGAAATTAATAAAAGTTCTCACTTCTCACCTTTCTAAAGAACAGAGCATACGAGTGATCCTGAATTGATCATTTCCAACAATGAAATGTGTAGGACTGTACTTGGATCTAATTACCTTCAACTGATCAATTCTACAAGTAATAATATTTGAATAGAAGTGATACTAATGTTCAATTAACTGAAATGTGAATTTGCAGTGGAAAATATTGTACAGTAGTTTGGTATTTGAAAATCAAAAAGGAACTAGTATGTTCCTTAACCATAACACTGTAGAATGTTAAAAGTTGCTCAAATGTTAGCTATTAGGTATATTTGGGAACTGGATCTTCAATGTTTTCTTGGTTGTGTTTTTTATCGACAGATTGTTATTAATCTGAAGAAGGTTGTGTGGATTTCAGTAAGGGTAATAACAATTATTTTAATTGAGGGTATCACCATTTTTTGTGTCTTTTTACTTAGCTAGAGATTGTGCTGGAATTTAATTTAAAAACTTTAAAGACACATTTTCATACTGTAGATAAAGTACCTATTTCAATGGAATACCAAGCTGTTTTGTGTGAACTTCATAGACATTCTGCATATCGTGAATTAGGTTTGTACATTACTTAATGTAGTGCTCATTTGCATTTCGTTTTTTAATTTAAACTCTTGCTTTGTATCATTTCTGTCAAACTTGTTCTCTACCAGGTTGTCTCCAAATATGTTATGATGGAGAAAGCCCTTGAGGTCAAAATGTTCCTCAATATTTTCTTAATACATCAAGTCAGCAAATTAAGTTTAGGCTGAAGTTGAAGCCGGTCAAGGCTAGACTGTGTAATAACACACAAACTGGAAATTACTAATACACTCTCCTCCATATGTATTTGGACAGTGAAGCAAAAATATTACATTTGGCTCTATACTCCAGCATTTTAGATTTGAGATAGAATGTATCATATTAGGTGACATTACAGAATGTCAGCTTTTATGAGGGTATTTTCATACATACTGTATCTGTTTTACCATTTAGAACTTAAAGCAGCTTATGTATCTAGTTCCCCAATTTGAAGAAGTCATAAATATTTGGACAAATTCACTTAGTGTATTAACCCTTTACACTCGTGGGAATTGGCCTATATGGATAGGGCTAAATTGAACTTTCTTACAGAATAAATATATAAAGCATATTATGCATAAGTAATTGAAATGGAACAGTTTGGAGATTATGGCAAAATTATTAGACAAAAGTTGGTGGACAACAGTTCAACCCACACAAGGCTGAATCGAAACATACAGTGGGGGAAAAAAGTATTTAGTCAGCCACCAATTGTGCAAGTTCTCCCACTTAAAAAGATGAGAGGCCTGTAATTTTCATCATAGGTACACGTCAACTATGACAGACAAAATTAGATTTTTTTTCTCCAGAAAATCACATTGTAGGATTTTTTTATGAATTTATTTGCAAATGATGGTGGAAAATAAGTATTTGGTCAATAACAAAGGTTTCTCAATACTTTGTTATATACCCTTTGTTGGCAATGACACAGGTCAAACGTTTTCTGTAAGTCTTCACAAGGTTTTCACACACTGTTGCTGGTATTTTGGCCCATTCCTCCATGCAGATCTCCTCTAGAGCAGTGATGTTTTGGGGCTGTCGCTGGGCAACACGGACTTTCAACTCCCTCCAAAGATTTTCTATGGGGTTGAGATCTGGAGACTGGCTAGGCCACTCCAGGACCTTGAAATGCTTCTTACGAAGCCACTCCTTCGTTGCCCGGGCGGTGTGTTTGGGATCATTGTCATGCGGAAAGACCCAGCCACGTTTCATCTTCAATGCCCTTGCTGATGGAAGGAGGTTTTCACTGAAAATCTCACGATACATGGCCCCATTCATTCTTTCCTTTACACGGATCAGTCGTCCTGGTCCCTTTGCAGAAAAACATCCCCAAAGCATGATGTTTCCACCCCCATGCTTCACAGTAGGTATGGTGTTCTTTGGATGCAACTCAGCATTCTTTGTCCTCCAAACACGACGAGTTGAGTTTTTACCAAAAATATTTTCTGGATTTTTTTTCTTCTCAATTTGTCTGTCATAGTTGACGTGTACCTATGATGAAAATTACAGGCCTCTCTCATCTTTTTAAGTGGGAGAACTTGCACAATTGGTGGCTGACTAAATACTTTTTTCCCCCACTGTACTATTGATTTGATGTGCATGTTACATGTATTGTACTTTTCGCCGCATTTGATAATGAAATCTGAAAATACTCTCAGTACATTCAGCAACATAAGAATATTCCTTGAAAATGTGGGGTAGGTGCAACATAAGACAAAAAAATCACAAGGGTTTGAGTGAGGACTATCTGGTGTCTCCAAGTAGCCACTCACCTCTCCAAAGTGTGCACAGTTCCTAAGTAATTTCAATGCACTTTTATGACTCAGAATCAAACTATAAGGTGCTTTGAGCTCTCCTAGCTGTGCTGTTGAGGAACTAGCAAGCAAACCGATTTATTTGTTTGGAACAACCCTGCATCCCCACCATCACACAATTACTGTTGTTGTTTACGCAATCCAAAAATTGCCCATTTGAAATCGCAATCTGGGTCAGGTGGGCATAATTTGAAAGCTTGTTCTATTGCCAACATGACTAGCTTAGTTATAAAATACGATCTTACAGTATTAAGCTTTCACAATGCAATTCAGGGAAACCGATCGTAATTTTGGTGCACACAGAAATGAGTCATGAGTGCATTCAGGTGCGTGTTCTAAACAAAGATAGGCTCATTCTGTTTAGAACAACCCAGGGTATGACGCCATGTCATCTTGTAACTGTACATGAAACATAGTGATCATAAACGTTGACAATGTATATGTCATGATTTTTATGATATGGAAATGTGAAGTGTACATTTGAACTCACAGGTGTTTGGCTTGCTTGTAAGCGGTATTTATTACAATCCCCAACGTCTATTCTTCCAAAATAAAGCAATTCCTTCACTCAGACAACAAAAAAGTTGCTCAATTCCCGGGAGGGATGGGGCAACTTCTTGTTGCGTGCTCAAGTTCAGAACGGCTGTCAGTCAAAACCCATACAGCGCTGTGAAGTGCAGAGCCTGAGCTCTGTCATTTATAAACTGGGTGGTTCAAGCTCTGAATGCTGATTGGCTGACAGCCGTGGTATATCAGACCGTATGACAAGTTATAAAATACGATCTTACAGTATTAAGCTTTCACAATGCAATTCAGGGAAACCGATCGTAATTTTGGTGCACACAGAAATGAGTCATGAGTGCATTCAGGTGCGTGTTCTGTTTAGAACAACCCAGGGTATGACGCCATGTCATCTTGTAACTGTACATGAAACATAGTGATCATAAACGTTGACAATGTATATGTCATGATTTTTATGATATGGAAATGTGAAGTGTACATTTGAACTCACAGGTGTTTGGCTTGCTTGTATGACATCAAAGCGGTATTTATGACAATCCCCAACGTTTGTGGTGTATGACCAATATACCACAGCTAAGGGCTGTATCCAGGCACTCCGCGTTGCGTCGTGCATAAAAACAGCCCTTGGCCGTGGTATATTGGCCATATACCACACCCCCTCGGGCCTTATTGCTTAAGTATAGCATGTTACTGTACAGCCACTACGTTCCAATTAAGGTGCTTATCAGTGCCCAAATCTGCCATTTTCAACCCTTATACGGGTACGAGCATAAAGGGTTAAAGTATTCAAAACTTTAGTATTTGGCCCCATATTCCTTGCACACAATGCCTACATCAAGCTTGTGACTAAAAACATGTTGGATGCATTTGCGGTGTTTCCCAATAGGAACTGAGTGGTGAATAATGTCTTGTCATTTTTATTGTAAGAAAAATAAGCTGTTTCTGAACACTCCTACATCCATATGTGGATGCTACCGTGATTATGGATAATCATGAATGGATTATGAAT